GAGGAGGATATAAAGGCTTATAAATGCAAATGAGAAGAAATAAAATGGGAGGTGGGGAAATAAAAGGGGAGGTTCAGGCCCTCCTCTCTCTCTGCTCAATGTCCCATGGGTGTCATTTTGCCAAGGTCATCCCCGTAATCAAGCATTCCCCCGGCTGACAGCCAAATGCCTAAGAGCTGCCTATTGTTCTCCTGTGTATTCTCTCAACACTGCAGTCTCTATAGCATTAACAAAATTTAAAAGCATTAAAGAAACAAGCACCACAAACATAATGTCTAATTCAATTCTGGGATTTTTATTTTATTTTGCATTGGTAGAGATTCAACCAAAGAATGAGGATAAAAACAATCAACACCAGTCTTGTAAACCAGCTTGTGATTATCTCTGTATGTATCTTTACATTCAAGCCACTGGGGCAAACTGACCTGACTTAACTTCACCAGAGTTTGGATAAATGAAAAGCTCTCAAACTTCTTCTGCATTTATCGGCTGTCTCTGCACGTCTGCTCGTGAAACTTTCACCTGAGGTCTTTGCAGCTGTGACCAAAGTGTAGATGAGTTTCACTTAGAAAAATCGATCTGGTCACATCTGATAGAAGAAATCTTTGCAGACAGAATAAATCATGCAGTTTCACTTAAAGTTTTAAGTTAATCACCTGTACAAGTTTGGTCAAAAGTTACTGTATTTTATAGTATTATCTGTCAAGTTTTTATACCCCTGGATCTGTGTGATTTCAAAGACAGAGAATTTGGTTATATTTCCAAATATGTTGGTGAGCCATTCAAAAGAGATTTCTCTTTAAGGCTGAGCTGCACCGAGGGACTGCACCCACGTCCAGCTTGGATCTGTGAGTCATGCAAAGCTACTATACGCCAGGTATAGCTGGATACGAGGAGAACAAGCCTGTGATACTTGATTTATATAAACATATGTTTGCATGTGAATACTTTGCAAAAGCAAAGTACAAGATTGTCCAGTCACATTTGAGCAGACAGGAAAAGAGGACGTGCTGAAATGCAGTCTCAGAACTAATGGGTATTGCTTTCAAAATTATACATATATATATATAAATATATCTACATTTGTAAACAAAGCCTGGCAGCTGAAACGGGAAGTCTTGACCCAGATATCTTGTTTACACAGAAAAACTTGGCTCATGTGTCCCCACATTGGTTGTAGTGGAGCATATCTACACTCACAGATCCAGGTTGGATTTTTTCCCCTGTAACATTCAAATATTTTTCCAGTTTTCCACACGTTCTGCAGTTACCGGCTGCTTCTTAAGCAGTTCTTCTCCATTTAACATGCCTCTTCCCCTGCATCCTGAGCTGAAACCTCTCTGTAAACCAACACAGCTGCACCCCCATGAATGTCACTGGTTTCTCTGAATGTCACGGACCAAATGAATGGTCCTGCATTGCTCCTATAATAAGATAATGAGATAATAGCACTTGTCTCTGAGAGCAGAGCTGAGGGGTGCTGACAGCGAGAAAAAGAAAAATGACATTTCCATTTGGAGGACTCATAAAGGATGAAAAAGGTCAAGAGGAGGAGAACAAAAGAAACAACAGAGGGAAGAAATTGGATTTCTGGATGTAGAGTCCTTCTCTGAAGGTGTGTTGATCCTTGCTGAGATAAAATCTAATCCTCATCTCTCATTTTTCATTTCCAAAATGAGTTTCTATATTTCTTTTTTGTTCCAAATCTCTTCCCTGAGTCACTAAGTCCTTTTCCTGCAGGGCAAACTTGTCACATTCCAACTCTGAGACTCCAGTTTTACTGGAGTCTACTGTTGGTTGATGCATCATGACTGTAGCCAAATTTAGACCAGTGCACTGTGATGACAGAATATTCAGCCTCGATGGGAAGAGGCGCCTCATAAATATCAGGAAATTGGTTTGTTGGTCTAAGAAAAACACTTGTGTCCAGCTGAATTCCTGATAATTTAATAAAACAATAGCTTAGTTAAGTTTAGCAGTTACAAAATTTCTATGTGATATGTTAAACAATAGAAAAAGAAAATTTGTCATTATAAGAGCAAAGAGCAACAACAGAGAGTTGAGAATATAGACAAACAAAACATAGCAGACAGATTCACTACAATATGTGCTTGTTTACTGTAAAGGAAAAAAACTACTAAACAAAGTATATATGACCTGAAATCTAATGAAGGAATAAAGAAGTAAAGGTGGCTTCACTGTTTCACATATTTCCAATGTCCGCATAACACATCGAATATCTGACTGATGCTTTGAGAAGTCAATATGACTGGAAGAGCTCAGTGTAAATGAGCTTCACTTACAATTTACACCCAGGGTTTGTCTGTCGAGGTCTTTTGATAGAGGCCTCAAGCAAGTACTTCTTTTTTCATGAATGAATGCAACAATATGAATTCATTTCTACAGGAACAGTTTTCCATTATCATCACATGTAAAGGCCTTCTCTCCTAAAATGTCATTTATTCATTATTCATTAGATCTCTCTGACCTTTGACCACCAATGTATTAATTGTGTTCTTTATTTAGATCTGCTTAAATCTGAACATTTTTCCTATTTGAATTTCTTGAGTTTACATATCTGCATATCACAACTAGTCTGGAATACAGATCCTAGTTGAGTAATCACATTAGAAACCCAAAAGCAGCACAGAAACATCTTGCATCCAGTAACTAAAATGGTCATATGTTGACAGATTACGTATTTTCCGAGTCTGTCCTTTGTGCATGCAGTTTTTTCTGATTCATAGTTGGATTTTTTTTGTGACAGCACTCTGCAGAGACCGTAGTGGCGATCGAGGGAAAAGGAAGGATGTCAGGGCTGATGCTGATGGGTTGAGAAAACACTGGATTTTAGAATGTTCTTCATTTTATGTTTGAGACAGTTTCCGTTTCAAACATAAAAAACTTTGTTTATAGGGGAGGAAAGAAATAATACGCTGATGCTATGCAGGATGGATTGATGGATGGCTGGGAGGAGGTGTAAATTTTTATCTTAAAAACAACCTAGTCAACCTGTTTTGTGTGTGTTATATGTGTAGTTGTATATAATCAAGAGTCTCTGTTTCTATTTGATTCATTCCGTCCCGCAGTCTGCTTGTTTTTGATTGATTACTATTGATATATTCAAGTCTGAGCATCCTCAGCATTTTGGGCAGTTTTAAAAGACAAACCTGTGTTTGCAGCTAGAACAATGATTTCTTTATTTATTTTAACTTGTGGCAGTTGTCTGTTTCTGTTTCTGTCTCAGTTCTTTGTTGTTTTTCATGCTGCATTTTTGGCCACATCTTTTCTGGAATACTAACAGAGAAATCTGTGCCCGGCCTGGTACCGTTCCTTCTTTGTGTCTTTCTTCCTTACTGACAAAGCAGGGCGGGATACATTCCAGCTCCACATAATTGTTTTAACCCACTAATTTTGGGGGTAAGAAAATGAAATGATGAATAAAAAGATATCCACATGTACGGAAAATGGCCGTATCAGCAGAATGTTGACCTGATCAGAAGTGCTGAAGTCAAAGTGAATGAAGAACCAGATGGGACGAATAAGAGGAGGGGATGTGCCAGGACAGCACTCATATGGCACATCCGTCATCCCCTTGTTAGCATCTTGGCATGCAAACACACACACACACACATCTACAAACACGCACACACAAGCATTTAGGCCAGACAGCTTGCTGGGCCAGATGGCCTCTTGGTGAGGAGCAACGAGGAGCTTCACAAGAGCATTGGGATGATTTGTGAACCATAACCTCCACACGTCCCTCCTCCTGACTCCAAGCAGCACGCACACAGCAGAGGGGTGGACGGTGAAAAAGAATTGTATAATTTTACATTACCCATACTCCTACATGATCATTGATTGTGAGATCATGTGGAACTACTGCATAAATTAACCTAAACATGTTTTTATTGATGTGAGAAAATCTGAGTGTAGGCATCCAACACTGTAGTCTTACACATGAACAGTCAGTAAATAAAAACATCCAAAAAGAGAAATCAGTGGTTGGGTTCAAGGAAGGAAGGAAGCCAAAGAGTTTACACAAGTCATATAAATTGAAAGCTGCTGGTTCACCGTATAAACTTAACCGTAGCACTTAAATAATATAGTAATGATGATTGTAAAGACTTTTCTGTCATATCTGCAGCTGTACTTGAGCTAATCGATTTATTTAAACGCAGGCGAATTTTCAGTTAAGCAGTTTCTTTGCATGTAATCAGCATACATCATGAGTTAGCAAATACAGCTGTCATTTATGTGTGTGTGTGTGTGTGTGTGTGTGTGTGTGTGTGTGTGTGTGTGTGTGTGTGTGTGTGTGTGTGTGTGTGTGTGTCCATTCATGAGTCTACCATCCAGAAAAGGAGTAAGCAGGTGGGTCACGTGGCTGCAGCCACAGCAGAGAAGATTCATCACAGCTTGGTGTGTGTGTGTGTGTTTAACAGTGTGTATTTCCTTTGTCCTGCTTTTTCTTAATTACAAACAACTGATACACATACAAATACTGAACTGGTTCCTGAGTGGTTCCTGGTATATTCCTCAGATTGTATAAACATTTTCTGTTTTTTTATTTTATTATTTTCCTGTTTTTTTTTTCAGCTAATATCCTGATGTGGCAGTTAAACAGCTGGACTGGGTTAAGCAGTCATAGTATCATTAAATAAAAGATGCACTCTTGGAATCCCAAAAAATGAAATTGAGAGCATTTTATAAGTTTCTAAAAATGTGAGAATCATCAGAGAAAATATCTGAAAGTGTATTTTTATTTGTTCCAGTTGAGTTTTTATTTTTAAAACCCTAAGCTAGCCGTAAGCTAAATAATCATGAATCTGAGTGTTCAGTTGATCCATCGACTGATAGATGAATCTGAATTTGAAATTTTTGGTTAAAATCGTAAGGAGAATGGTACAGCAGTGAATGTCTATATCCATCAGTAAAAAGGTCACATTTCTTTTGAGGCATCTTAATCGTTCTATATCTTCCTTCTCTGTTTGTCTCTGCAGTGTCAGATTTCCCAGGCGCTGAATGGCGTCTCTGACAAAGCTAAAGATGCCAAGGAGTTCCTGGTTCAACTCAAAAACATGCTCCAGCAGATACAGGTAACAACACACCTTTACATTTAATTTTACATAAGATATGCTGTTAGTAATCCAGTCTGTAAATTTAGGTACAAGTATAGATCAAAGGTTTGTCACGATGGCTTAATAGCATGATAGTCACATCAGTGATGGGCAGTTTTCTTCACAAAAAGATACAAAAACCTATCAGCTTTCTTCTAGTATCAACTTCCTAGTACAATGCTGAATGTTTTTTTCATTCAGTAACCGACCATAAGTACTCACAGTGACCAACTGATTGCCCAGAGGTTGAGAGAAGAAACTTCTTCGAGCTTTGAACAGTAACTCAAATTACTTGTTACAACCAAACTATGCAAAAAGGGATCTCTGAATGCACAACATATGAATCTATACTACCCTGTATCAATGGTTTGTGTTGCTGCTGGTGATCTAATGGTGTGGGAAATATTTTTGCAGCATACTTTGGACCCCTAATTACCCCTTTAAACACCATAGCTTACCCTGAATATTGTTATTGAGCATGCAAGTACCCTTCTGATGGCTGCTTCCAGCAGAATAACGTGGCATGCCACAAAGCTCACATCATCTCAACCCGTCTTTTGATAAACTGATGCACACCGACCGATCGGTTGCCATGCATTGCCAATCCATCTACATTTGTCAGTTATTGCAAATCTTTACCAGTGCTTTGTAATCAAAAGTTTCCACACTCAAACTCTGGGCAACTAGATGACCAAGTGATTACCCAGAGGATGAGCGAATGAGAGCAATGGCCACTGCAACTACTTGCACTCATTTGCTGAATGTGAAAAGAATCAATGCAATCACTGGGAAACCACCGATTTTTCTTAGTTGCAAAGAGTTTGCCAGCTTTCTTTTACTCTAGTATGACTGGGCCATAACATTAGCAACTGTATCCCACAATGCAATGCAACGGCAAAACAAAAAGGAAGGATCTGTTCACATCTAAATATCAGTGGTAGGCAAATTTTTATTTTTGGGGGGGTTACAAAAACAAGACCATTTGAGAAATAGGAATAAATCAATGTTTTGTTTTGTTTTTTCAAGTTTTGTATGGAAGTAAGAACAGAAAAATCTCAGAACTGTCAGCTATTACCCTTCCTCTGAGGAATGAAACTTTTTCCAGCAGAAAAATAAGATATTCTGTTTCTCCAAGAACGTTATGTTTGGCAGGTGATGTTTTGTGGCCAATGAAGGACTGATCTGTGTCATGAGCAAATGCATAAATAGGGTAAAGTAGTGCTGCAACAGCTGCATGTGTGTGATTAGGCATACACAATGTCTGACTTTGGCACTGGAAACATCTGGGTATTAGCTCATTTTGTTGTGTTTGCATAAAATGAATCTCTGAGAGATTTAACGACTCCATAAAGATAGCCTGGATGAATTTAAGAATAGAATAGCTTGTTAGTGCAGAATTTGGGGATTTCATCATAAGTGGCAAATAATGTCATTAAAAAACAAATAAAAAAAAAAAACTCAGGATAATAAATCTCTGCAAGCAAACTGAACAAAGACTTTGACTAGAAATGGGAGACACAAAATTGGACCTTAAGGAAGTAGGAATTATTTACTAGTAAGTTAGTAAGACTTATCTTTATTAGCAAGTCAGCACTACAGAGTATGTTGGATGGGTGGATGTCTGTGGAGAGCAAAAGAAACCGAAATGCATGCTAGTGCAGTTTCATGCAGAGGGTATCCTCCCCTGAGAGTGTCAGAGAGTGGCTGTCAGGAACGAAGGAGCTTTTGTAGCTGAGCGCAGCAGGTTCGGGTGCATCTCGTGCAGCTCATCGCCCTCTGATCAGGACTCGCGTGACAAAGCACAGCAGAGATCTCTGGATGGTGAAGGGGTCGTCACAGCAAACGACTAGATTAAAAAGCATGTGCTGGACTTGTTAAGCCACCATTAATGATGAAATAGACACTCACTGACCACTTTGTTAGACATACCTGATGAACTGCTCATTAATGCAAATATATAGCTAGCTAATCACATGACAAGAACTCATCTTAAACTGATGAGGTTGAAACTGAGCATCAGAATGAGGAAGACTGGGGATGTAAGTGACTCTGAAGTGGCTTCAGGGTGCTTGTGCTTACGTAATGATGTAGAGGATATTTTCATGGATACTTTGAGCCCCTTAGTGCCTTAGTTTAAAGCTACCTTCTAAATGCACCTCATTTTGAATTATTTTTAGTTTCTGAGTGCAGTGATAGATTATGTATTTAGTTATTCAGGAAATTTACTGAAATCTGCTGTTTCTAGAGGTAAACATGTTCAAACTGCCTATTAAAAAGCTATTTCAGGGCTTCCATGCTTTGTTTAGATGTTTCTCCATAAGCATGATGAGACAGAAGTCTGGCTGTATCAGACTGCACCACAACTGATATCCACGTCTGCTCATTTCTGCACATGTAGATATTGTTTGCAAAATTTACTCTACATTACTACTGTTGTTTTAAGACTGCATTGATCATGCTTTGGGGAATTCCCTGGTAATGTACAGTAAGCTCACAGAGCAACATTTGGACTCGACACTCAGCAGCAAAGAAGCAAATCCATAGAATCAATAAACTAAAAACAAAACATACCATCCAAATATGTGCATTTGTGTGAGCATTCCCTCTAGACAGCATTACCGTGCAGCTGATCTCTCCAGCAGCGTCTACCAGTCATGCACACAAAGCACACACATGTTTTTACACACTGTCTGCACTGATATATCCTACAGCACCACGAGTGGGCATTAAGAGTCTTATTACAAAATGAAGAGGATTAAGCTTTAAAAAGAAGCAGTCTTATCTTTACTCTGCTCTGTCTGAGACAAGGAAAAAAAGAGCTAGGTGGGCAAAGAGAAAGTAGAATATAGGATTGAGGAGAAATATCTCCAGTGCTCCTCGGGCTCTAAACAGTGACTGAGCAGAGGAACCTTGACTGGAAATCACTACTGAACCCTTATCTCATTATCAAATGGGCTTTGTAGGGAGATAAAACTCCCCTCTGGATCATTACCTCATTTATAACCTGTTTTTATATCTACTGGAAGGAAAAACTAAATGACACAGGATCTTAATTATCAACATCTTAAATGCTACAAAACATCTCAAATTATATGCTGACAAGTTTCCAGTCTGTTGGAAATGAATGGCCAAAAGCAACAAGAACAACACTCAACATATCCAAGTTTAATATTTTGAAATTCATTTATCTGTATTGTGTTATTGTGAGTTTCTCCTCTGGGCTTTTTTTGGTTTTAATTTAACAGTTTTTTTCTCTGGTGTCTTCATTTTTGACTTCCTGTTTTTCTGACTGTCTTGACTGTTTTCGCACGTGTCTTCGTCCTCTCCCTGTTTTTAAATAGTCTCAGTCTTATCTTCGTCACGTTGTAATGTTTCTTATCCTCTGTGTGCTGCAAGTTTCCCTCCTTTGCGTTTAACCTCTGGCGTCTAGTGTTCACCTAATTTGATTTCTTTGGAGTTATAGCTGAGTAATTATGAATTTGGGTCCTAAATTACAGTTGTACACATGTTTGATTTTCCAATTAGCAGTGTTTGAATGATGTTGACATGCAACTGTTTTAACTGTTACACAAATAGGGATTTGCATAATAAGTTCAAAACAGCCACCAGCCTATGTGTGCTGTATTCACAATGCTTTTGATTTAGTCCCTGCTGTATTTGCAGATTTTCTCGTGCTCGCCCTGCCTTCTGTGTCCTTCTGATATGAAGATAAACTAACGCTAACCTAACACAACCATCATGCACTGAGCGTTTCCTCTCCTCTCCCACCCTTTTGCAATTTGATCATCTGAAGAACGTTTTTGAATTTTAAGCGTAATGCAATGAAGCCTTTTCAGCTGCAGATGTCTGCTTATACTCTATCATTGCATTCTGTTTGCTGGCCCAAAGACAAAGCTGCTAACTGTCAGGGAATATTAGTAAATCGAAACACAAAACCACAATTTCATGTGTTGCATCTTGAGGGAAAAATGGTGGCGAGTATGGTTGTGCAAATGGATGGTAAATACGATGAAAGGCTTGCTTTTGTGTGCGGTGTATTGAAATAATTAACGCTGTATTTATTTGTGGTTTTGCAGCTGAAGCAAAAATAGAACATAATGTGGTGGGCTAAATGAATGGGTAACAAACAGTGTGCTGCTAATTGAAGAAAAACAAGCCAAGTGATCTATTTTCGTCTCAGTGCTTTGCTTTTGTGATCCAAACCCATAACGATGCTCACTTCAGAACACTTTAATGTAGATTTATTTTGGCAGGGAAGCCAAACATGGTGGTTTCATGAGTTAATATTACTTGTTCACTTTCTTTAATCAATTCATAACGACTGTGCTGCTTCTGTTGCTTTCGTCTTTCTTCTTCAGGAGAACGGAGTGGAGTTTGAAGCTTGCCTCGTGGCTCAGTGTGACTCTCTGATCGAGGCGCTGACCAGACAGAAAGCCAAACTGCTCACGAAAGTTACCAAGGAGAAGGAGTACAAACTAAAGGTAAGCTTGGTTGATGATCGCTGTTCCTCCCACCTCTCAGTAAAGTCGACTGCTGATATAAATCAGCAGATTAACCCTAACCCCTAACCCTAAAACAGCTGGTGTGGGGAGGATATGAGAAATCATAATCTAACCCAAAAAGACTCCAAATTTTTTATTTAACATGTTCAAAAAAGGCAAAATATGTATGCTAAAAACAGGGTTTTAATCATTAAAATCTAGATGTCTGCTTGTCTAATAATTTCTCTTTGTGCTTTATCAGTTTTCTTCAAGCAAATCTGCAACAGTGAATCACACTGCGTTTCCTCTTCCAGTCCTTTATGTCCATATCTAGATATCACCAGCCCCACCGTTATGAGTAGATTAGCTGATGTGAACCCACCACTGTTGATCTAACTTTAGCTTAAAATCACACGCCCACAAAGATCCTCATCAATAGCGAGACGTTGATTATAAAAAAAGTATGTTTTCAGGAATTTAAGTACCAGAGAGAAATTGCTGTCTCAGCTCGCTACCAGAATAAATTCTCTCTAGCAGCTTAGTCTTTTTTTTCATGATTTGCCTCTGTAAATCCACCCTGAGTTTATGTATCACATGGATGCCTGCCCAGCCTCAACGTGCCCGCCGACCGACTGACCGTCTGGCTGGCTGCTGGGTGGGGAGGGGTGAGGAAGAGGAGGAGAAGGAGGAGTGGAGGGTATTTGGATGGAAGCCCCAAGTACAGCTGTTGTCATTATCTGGAGGCTGGGGATCAAGATTTAGCCAGAGGGCAAAGAGCCGCAGGCTGCAAGGAAGCTGGAATAAGAGAAGAATAGCTGGTTGTAGACGGCTGATAAAGCAATGTTAAAATCTTCACTACAATAAATGCTGATTAACTGATACAGCAGTTTAACTAGAGGCTCCTCTTCATGGTGAGAAGAGTACTGACTTTACAGTTGGATAGATAAGCGTCTGCGGCACTGCCTCTCCTTAAAATTACATTCATTTAACTGATTTAAAACAAAACATACTTTTAAGGAAATTTACGCCAAACTAATAATGTTTTTTACTAACAGAGTGAAAAATATATCTTTAATGTCTCTGTAAAGTTCCACAGTGTTCCATTTAATGTTTTTCCACCAAAATATTGAATCGTGAAGCTTGATACTCACTACAGCATTATACTGGTTTTATGGCTGTGCTTAGGCACTCAAAGCCAGAATATAACATAATTACAAAAGACCGATGCAGCCATTATGGTGCCTTGATTCATTATTGCTTTTACATTTTGGCTGTTTGGAGCCAGATCTGGTCATAGTTGGATGTGAGGTTGGAGTACTAAGTTAATAATTCAGAATCAACTAATGCAATGCAAGTATTGCAAAGACACAGATACTTTCTGATACAAGTACTTTCGACCTGACCAAAGTACTTTTTGGATGGCCTGTGAGTATGACTGGTACTCATGCAACCTCACAGAAAGCCACATTCAGTTTGAGACTGCATGTGTATATATATTGCAGCTTCGTATCAGTCTCACAGCTTCCACCCACATGCCCAAAAAGTAGCAGCTCACATTTCACAACACCATAGTGTGAAGTCAGAGTCATTTAGGTATTAAGGTATGTCAAATATTAAAGTGTCATTTTGCACGTTATTTGTAGGTTTTCACATTACACCCACTTCTCAGATACAAGCAGTGCATACATACATCTACTGTTGCGTTGAACACAGACTGTGTTTTTATTTATTTGTCAGCAGGAAAATATAGAATATTATACTGTGTATAACTGCAGTTTAAGTACAAGCAATAGGCTGTTACAGTCTTTATTTATTTTTTGCTGATGCTACTATGATTATAAAAAATGTACAATTAGAATGTCAAAATTTATATTTTGGAAATATTTGTGTTTCCAGATCTTGGGATATTACATGTTGTAGACATAACATTTTCTCTTCCTGCTTTTCTTATTTTCGTTTCTAAATAGATCGTGTTGTGACGAAAACATGAGGGCCGAAATCTCGAAGCTGTGGATTAGTTTAGTTGCAAAACTGAGTTGAATGCAAGGAAAAGGGTGATAGTGAAAGATTGAGAATAAACATGTGAGTTGAGTGTAGAGTTGAGAGGATCACACAAATCTCATTGTGATTATTGTGTAAGAGAGGTTTAGAAGGCAGAGAATAAAAATTTGACCAGGAAACAAAGAAACCCCACAAAATACTCAAACAGTAACTAAGCTTTTTTTTGTTGTTTTTTACAGGATAAAGAGACCTGTTTGATTTTCCATCATCAAATAAAAACCTGTAAAGGAATATAGACTAGATGTTCTCACACTCAAATACTCGAGGGCTATAATGTTATAGTTGTTACAGTCAGAAGCCTTTAAAAAAAATCAAACCTGCCATTTTTGTGCTGCTGATTAATATCTTTAAGTCTGACCATTATTGTAAGAGGCTAAGTGCTGTCTTTGTTTGCTGCTAAATGAGAAGGTACCTTAAGAATTTTATGTTAAATAACACATTTAATCAAAATTAAAAGTAAGATTCTATTAAAAAGCTTCAACGCAAGTAGAAACAAAAAGCCCAATAGCAAGCATGACGAGCATTTCATTTCTTGTATACAGCCAAGAAGGTTTTATGAGTATTTTAGTGCTTTTTTTATTCTCTACATTATGAGTTTCAATTTATACTTGACATTTAGTCTAAAGTGTACTGAAAATAGATGTCAATAAAAATATTTTTGCTCTAACCTGAAATGAAATGTGATTCAGTGTCTGCTGAAGAGGCTGTGAGATGTACCTCCAATGAGGTGCATTCAATTACCGTGTTTCAATATCTGAACCCTTAAATTCATTTCAGATTCATGAGGAACATACGGGAAAAGCCCATCAGCCGGGGCTGCAGGAGCATGTGGGAGGGAGTTGACGGCAAGTCTCAGCGGGACAGAAAGCAATTGAAATAAATCTGAGATTTACTCAAGCGTCACGCCTCATACTTCATGTTGTTTGCACGGAGGATAAAAGCGACGGTTCGGCAACGTGATTTGAAAAACAAATTTTCTCTTGGGAAATAATTTGAGTATGTGCATATTTTAAGTTGCACCTTTAGTAGACTTGTACAGTATGAGTGCAAATAAGAGAAAAACAAAGAAAAAAGGGAGTGACGTGACATCAAATACAAATACATGGATATTTCATGTGAGATAAGAAAACTTACTAAACGGATAAAATGCAAGAAAATATTTAGAAATTTCCTAAATTGTCATGGTCTTCATATTTCAACTCAGACAACAGATGACAGGTGAATAATTAACTGATCTCATAAACCATCAAATAAAAGACGACTAATTACCACAACTGCACCTAATTAACTCTCTGATCCATTTAGACGGCCATTGGTTAACGCTAGAATTAATTATTTTGGATGCAGACAAGTTTCAAAATATTTTCTGTCTAATCTCTTGCTTAAACTTTAAAACCTGATGTGTGTGTGTGTTACACGTGGAGTATAATGATATTAGTAGTACTATGAGCTGAGGATTAAAGATTGCTCGTGAGTTAAAAGTGGTGCAGCTTGATTGCAAGAAAACAAAAGGTTAATAAAGCGATGACAGGTTGCAGACTTTCAATTAGCCCCAAAACGGCTGACTGTGACACACGTCCAAATCTCATTTCCCCTGGCTCGGGGTTCAGCCAGCAGACGGCATGTGTCTGGTGTCTGTGTGAAAGAGAGAGACTGGATGAAAAACAGAAAAGTGTGTTTGTCTGGTTGCGGCTGATAATGTTTCTGTGAAATTTATGAGAGATCAACAGATCGATTCCAGTTGTGGCATTATGGTGTCACGCTGTCAGACAGTCTTTAATTAATCCTTGACTGTTTTGCATGCCAGCCACTAACTCGTCTTTCGTGTCAGCCAGTTCCAACTGCCCATGTTCTGCTCCCTAATTACACTCCCAGTGCACATATAACAACCTGCTGCCAAGCTCAAAAATCAGTGTGATCCTGAGCTGGCAGTTCTGAACTTTTTTAGCGTGGTGCCACTTTTCTTTATTCATTACCTCCCATTCTTACTGAACTGTATTATTACTGAACTAATCTTAAGCGTCATTGTCGCTGAGAAAAAGTTGACCAGCATGAAAAAGTGGACTCCATGGACACCATTTACAGCTTTTGATTGTATCACAGATTAAATTGTTGTTTAAGTCCACCTCTTTGTATTACTGAGCATTTGAGAGAATTTCACAAGTTCACTCTGAAATTAGCAATATTTCTGCTGACAACAACGTAGTTGTAATTCAGTAAAAGGACTAGATGTTGCAATGCGTGATAATGCATGGCTTTAAATCGGGGCGATCGTAACTCAAGAGTTGGGATTCGCCTTGTAATCGGAAGGTTGCCGGTTCGAGCCCCAGCTCAGACAGTCTTGGTTGTTGTGTCCTTGGGCAAGACACTTCACCTAATGCCTACTGGTGTTGGCCAGAAGGGCAGATGGCGCGATATGGCAGCCTCCCTTCTGTCAGTCTGCCCCAGGGCAGCTGTGGCTACAACTGTAGCTTGCCTCCACCAGTGTGTGAATGTGTGTGTGAATGGGTGGATGACTGGGTGTGTAAAGCACTTTGGGGTCCCTAGGTGGGACTAGTAAAAGTGCTATACAAATACAGGCCATTTACCATTTTAAATGGAGAAAATCTTGAGGAATGGCTGTTTTGAGGAAAGTCAGCCCAGAAACTTTACCAGCGGCACACATCGTTATGCCTCACTTTCGGTCTTTGTCCCAAGCTAATCTGCCTTTCCCCCCCCTTGGTTAGGTTTAGAGATTAGAGATCTGATCTAGATTATCATATTAAAATTTGGGACGCATCATCAGTAGTGGACCTTGGGTTCATCGGGTGCTTCGGCCATTATCACGAGACACCCTCATCCAAGGAGGCCCTGCCAGGGTTGGCAGGCCCCGGAGTGTCTCACTGGTTTACGTTAAATTATTTCTCTTCTTCTTTCTTCTGTTTAGTTTTCTACAGTTTATTTTCTTCTATCTATTCACTGCAACTGAGAAATAATACTTACCCCTCTAACATTTATGGAGCCGCACTTTTTCAAAGGGATAGAAATGGTGATAGAGAGAAGTAAGACAAAAGGGACAAAATAGACGATAGGAGAAAGTTGTGTCTCCATGTATATCTCCCCTGAGTAAGGCTAGTCCTACAACCAACCAAGATGCGCTTGAGTGTGCCTGGGACACATATAATGATATAATACCATATTGATGCTAAAGTTGTTCAAGTGAACCCAACAATCGACATCAAAGAATGGACAGACTGCCAGGGGCCTAAATAACTAGTCTTCTAGCCACTAAAAGGGTAATGCGGCACAAGTGAACTCAATCAGGCAATAAGGTTGGAAAGAGAACAAAGGTAGGAAGTTAAAAACAAAATGGAAAGATGAGGAAACAACTTTTTAAAGCAAGAGGATACAACTGAAAGAGAATAAACTCATGCAGGCAATGGAAGACACTAACAGGGGGCAAAGGAAGGCTCGGGGAAAAGGTCATACCTCAGAGTCTTTCAGAGTCTTTCACTTGTACAAACTGATTGAAACTGATACAATTAAACATAGTGAAAATATTTCAGATGCTCATCTCAGAATAATTGCTTTTAACAACTCATGCATCTGATCTGTTTTGTTCAGGTGGTACGTGACCAGATCACACACTGCACTATGAAGTTACGGCAGACCACCGGCATGATGGAGTACTGTCTAGAAGTCCTCAAAGAGAATGATCCAAGTGGTTTCCTCCAGGTATTTTACACACCTCATGTTTGTGCGTGTGAGACGAGTATGAAGATGAGTAACAGGGGATGTTACAAAGACAAAAAGAACACAAAAAAACAACAATTTCAGTTCACCATAATCTAAAAACTATTAAACATCTAAAACAACCGAACATCAGCACAAAAACAGCGTGTGGCAGAATACATTCCTTCTTTTGCTGAGGCCAAGGGAATTATGTTACTTAAATAAGTAAAGCACAGGACAAAACACTATGAGGTCTTACTCGATTAAAATTCAACCCAAATCAAATCTTTTTCTGAGATATTTTGAACCAAAAAATGGAAATGAAGGTAGGAAGGAAGCGTGACACACAGATCCTCTGAGCACATTAGGAGAAATCAGCTTCACGGGGAGCCTCTGATGTTTGTTGAATCGGCACAGCCAAAAAAAACAAGCAAACTGTGGCGTAGCAGAGGAAGGAGTCAGCACGGAGAACAGCAACAACAACAACCCCACATGCCTGCCTGCACTTCAGCACTACAGTCACAGCAACATGCATCTTATTTTAATACATCTGCAGCTGTTCTATTTTGAATTAACTTTACATGCCTAGTAATCAATAGGTTGACATGCTCAGTAGCTAATAAATAATCATTGATCTTTGTATGTATAGATGGAGAAACGTGACCTCCTCAGAAGAAATAAATGTTGGTTTCCTGCAGAACGCTAAATCATGAAGACTTTTCAAGACCATCAGACTTTTTTTTCATCTTTAAATCTGTCTCGAGTCTCAGCTCATGCAGAGTCTGGGCTTTATATCAAAGTTCACACAACTCTCTCAGGAAACAAAAAAGGCTTTATACAACTTTATTTGCATATCTTTAGTAGTATATATCAAAAGCGCTATATCTGGATGTGTGAAATCAGGGGGAGGTCGTTTTTGAAATTTGAAATAGAAAAAATATTCAGTATTTGTGTCACCACTGGAAATACTTCCTTTCCTTATGTGTTAGGTGGTACGCCTGGATAGAGCACGCACGTGATAGAGGAAGGGCACATGACACCCACTTACTCAACAATGACCTGCTCCCACAGACTCAGGATGCAGTGCATGTGCAGAAATATTTGTAGTGTATCAGCAAACATCTACGGGGGCATATTACAGCCACAGAGGGCAAGAAAAAAGAAAAAAAGAAACCAACACAACAGCAAAAAAGGTTTAAAGTTTAAAGTCATAAAAACAGAGAAAACAGTGATGAGAAAAAAGTCGGGTTTTATTTTTTGTGTAAAGGAACATTTCAAGGTTAAGTTGTAAAAAAAGTCATTATTTGAGGTTCTGGGATCAATAACTTATAAAACACATTATTAGACGCCAACGACAGATCTATCCGATGAGGTCGATAAAGCAGACCAGAAGCCACAAGCTCATTTTCAATAAAACCTGTCATCCTCTAACCTTGGCTAAAACACATTTAATAATGTTTAATTACATTTCTCAAGTCTTACAAATTATTGATTTTAAATAACAAAAACAAAGCAACAAAAAACAAACAAAAGTACGACGACAATACAGGGCTATTCTATTCTATTCTATTCAAATATGTGATTTTATTCCAACTTAAAGTTGAAAAATAAAGCAATACAGTTACATGACTTATTTCTTCATCTTTGTTCTTGTAAATTTCAGCTGTTTGATCAAAATTTACAATTTTAAATCTTGATTTTTTTATTTTTATTTTTTTACCTTGAGTGGCCTTCATTTGCAGTCATAAATGTGCCTTTATGGTACTGAATAAAAACACACATGATTTCCAGATATTCCAGAAAATAAGCTTCCTTTTTCTTTACCCATTCTGAAGCATAAGCAGTGTTGGGTAAATTACTTTAAATTACAGTTGTTACATTACTAGTTACTTCTATCAAAAGTAATCCAGTTACTTTCAAAGTAACTAGTTACTCAGGAAAGTAACTTTGGTTTTACTCAGAATTCTCTTGTTAATGTGTTGCTTCCAGTCTTCTAGCCACAAGTGCACTGTGCCACCTACCAATAGAAAGGAAAAAATAATGTGCATATTTCCAAATATGTGGGAGATAAACAAACAAGACAGACGGGACTTGCGACAGATAAGCCGATCAGCTGATCATTGATCAGTTTCATGATTAAAGTAGAAACAGGAGAGGGAGGGGGAGAGAATGAGAGAAGAAGAGACAGCTGCAGCGTAAAGACAATAACTCCAGCTTTGTGTCTTTTTCATTGTAGCTGAAGAACGGGACAAACTGCGTTCCTTTTCAGCTCAATACAAAATATTTTCTCTGAATACGAGACGATTCCATTTTTTAGGGAACGGTTGGCAACTCTAATAATTAACCTTATGAACAAAATAAAGTTCAACATCAGTAACATCATAGCAGCCGCCCAGCTGTATAGAAACTCCGTCATGCTAGCTAGTATGCAGTACAAAAAAGTCAGCATAACTAAAATAAACTCCACCTAAACTTGGTTTATATCTGACCCAGATAGACTGCAGGTCATAACTTCTTACCTGAAGTTCAGTTCACTTGACACTCGGACACCCGCCTCGAGTCTCTCCTCCTGCCTCCCCTTTCCTTCATCTACCTGCTGGCCTCCACCACTTGCTAATGTTACTGAATCTGTGGAAGATCCGCGATAGCCACCACATAATAACTAGTTACCGTGCTCGTTACCACAGTAATAACGTAGTTACTGTAACGCGTTACTTAATAATGCGTTAGTCCCTACACTGAGCATAAGTAATGGAAACAATCATGCAATGTATTCACTAGAGGTTGGGTTTTTTTGTCTTATCCTCAGATCAGGGGTCTAATTCATATCTTTAAATATTTGAACTGCACTAATGTGAGCCTCATTTCACTTGTCAGACACAGTGCATGGAAGCCGGGCCAGTCAAATGGAAAATCCACTTTGTATGCAGGGAGGGCCTCTGATATTTTCCAATGTATTTAAAAGTATATAAATATTGAATGAATGTGTTCTCATTTCCAGCATTTTCTTCATTCTTTACTTCTTACAAGTAAACCATTGCTGAATCTATACTGTGTCTGCAAACTTCAACTTGCCCACTGTATGTGTTTGCGTAGATCTCAGATGCTCTGATTAAGCGAGTGACGTCATCTCAAGACCAGTGGGTTAAAGGGGCCCTGGAGCCAAAGGTTGGCCCTGACTTTGACCTCACTCTCAATACCGACTCGCTGCTACAGACCATCCTACAGCTGGACTTCTGCCAGGGCAAAGGTGAGCACACGTTTGGACTTTAAGACCAACTGTACTACTACAACTTAGTCAAATTAAAAAATCTCTTTAGCTGTATATTTAAAAGGCGTACTCCACTTTATAAGGCATGAGTCTCACACGAGAGAAAACTAGAAAAGAATGGTAAAGCTAGTTTAACTAAGATGTACGGACAAGCTCAATGCTGGGAATTTCTCAGTTACTCTGCTGGGAACAACAGATTGATTGATTTATTAACTTTGAATTGAGAATAATTTGTTATCCTAGATTTACCTCTGTAAACCTTTGGCCTTTTATACTAACTTGATGCATCTCAGAGTCCTTGCTTCAAGCAATTCGCTCCTCACTGGAGGTGATGATTGGTTGCTTGTGGACTTACCAGCCTCTGGTTGCCTAGGTAATCATCTAATGTATTTACCACCAGATAATATGACAATCAGCAGTATCCTGCAGTATCACTGATAGTCTCTTCACTTGCACACCTGTCTCTGGCCACCACATTGCTTCAAATCATCAAGCAGCCTCAATTCTCCTCCCATTGAGATCATATTCCTCACAAAAATCTTACTATATGAATCTTTTTGAACAAAACTGTTCCTACACAGTGAGGAAAACTGAGGAACAGTTCAGGGTTGTGGCTGAATTTGGAGGCTGACCACAGATTTTGACTGGGTTGCCAGAATACTCATTTTCTTGAGCTGCACATACATATTGAAGTCCTGGAGTAAAGCTCACTTGTAAGCTTGCCAACGATTTACTTAAAAAGTCTCTATGATTATAGATATATGTAAATAATTTTGGCATGCACAAACATACACAAACAAGATTCATCTAAAGCAGGGGTGTCAAACTCAAATACACAGTGGGCCAAAATTCAAAACTGGAACAAAGTCGCGGGCTAACATTAATATTTATTTAAAAAAAAAAATCTTCCTCCAGATATAAGAATGAATCTTTTCTTATGGACTCAAATAAGTTTTACTGGAAAACTGAATATGGAACAAGCAAAGCTTAATACTAAACAATATATATATTAGCTGTATAATACCAGTAGGCCAGCTCTAATAGTAATTTGGTATGGCTTCACGGGCCAAATGTAATTAGGCTGCGGGCCAAATTTGGCCCGCGGGCCAGAGTTTGACACCTATGATCTAAAGTCAACAAAATAAGATTTAGCTGCTATTGCTCTTTTCTTTTAAGGTTTCTTTAACTCATACTACAGTGTGCACATCTAATTATCTATTAATTGGCTGTTGCTACCCAGCAGCCAGTTGGCGCGCATGAGTAAACAGCGTGTTTTATATTCATTCCGCTGCGGTCTCCGAGATTACCCAGATGTATAGTTAATGTATATTAAATATGTAATCACCAATATGCATATTTTATTTGCATATGGCTGCACTTAGGCGGTGAAGATGGGATGTCTTCCCTGTGCAGAAGCAGATTCAACCTGGTTACTTTGCTAGAAAAGTAAATAATGCTGACCGGTCTTTGTTATCAGCTATTAAGAGTACAAAATCCATTAAATCATAAGCAAAATACTCATTTTCACAATGAGGAAATTACATTCAGTGGAGCTCTGTGTGTGATAAATTTTATATTCGGTATCATAACTGTGATTATGCACTCTTGTAATGTTATGGTTCATCTTGGGTGACACTTCCAATGAGCTGCAGCAACGTTTTTTGTCCCCAACAAAGTCAACTTCCTAGAAAATAAGGACACTAGCTCTTACAGACACGACAAAAACTTAGTGAATTAAATTTAAAAATGTGTCCCGGTTCTTCAGGTCATGGCTTGAGTTAAGTTCTACTTCAAATAGATTTTCTCCAATTTAAGCTCCACTCAAACTTCTTAGAAAGCCAGAAAGCTTTGATCAGCTCTCTTTTCTTCTCCAAGACTGGGGATGTGGAATTCAGTTGTATGATTCCTTTCTCTCTCACCCATTATCTGGTATGGACTTTAACGACGGACAATTTCATTTTAAGCATTTGAATTTTAATCTTTGACATACAGAGCACCAACAAAAGGTATGTTTGTACTCAAATATTAAGTTTGTTTAAACCCATATACTGTAAATAAAAGATGTGCATAGCCATCATAACATCCTCCACAGGCATAAAGATTCATTAGTTATTCCTCCTCTGCATGTTTTTTATCTTTCATTTTCTTTTCTTGTCTTCACCTCAACTTTTCTTAAAACGAGATGCTAATAGTTGCATGAGATGGTTGAGTTGAGTAGTTTAGGTTAACAGTAGGTGGCTTGATTAGAAACACAGAACTGTAATTCACTGTCTATTAATTGTATAGGATACTAGTTTGTGGCTAAACAAGCTCAAAGCAAAATGCAATTATTGGAAAAACAGAACAGCTGATTCTTTGTACAAAAATGAAACTAATTAAATTAAACACTCTACAAGACCTATCACTTAAAGCAGTTACATCTTTAATTATGCACAGCTTTAAAGCTATGTCCACGCATAGCTTTGGAGCAAAGTGATTCGTTCCTCACTCATCTCTTTGAAGCTGACAGCTGATTGCTCACGGACATTCCTGGCTCTGGTTGCCTAGGTAACCTTCTAATGTATTTTGCAGTAGTTTCTGTGTGATAACCAGGAAACAGGGCTAAGAACTACAAAACTGCCTTTTTACATTTTTGTAATTACATATTAATAAACTATTAAAGTGAACTTCATATGCTTTAAATTGTGACAAATATTACTATGAAATGTAGTAGAAACATTACCAAACATTTCCTTATAATAAGCCACAATATTAAACATAAAATTTGCATTGATACCGTCAAACAATGCTGAATACTGGATAATAGGATTATACTGTTATACTTTTATAATAATATAGCAGCAGCTGCTCAGCTGCACTGGAAAGAATATAACTTTGCACCTCTGGTAAAATATGCAGCATAAAAAAGCGTAGAACAAGCATACGGCATTATTTGTGTGCCACTATTCTGAGCGCGCATTAAAAAAAAGTGGGCGCACGTAAAAAAAATTTGCAGGTACAAGTGTTGCATTTTGAGGAGAAATTTATTTCGAGCAAAGAAAAGCTAAATTTGAGTGAACAAAATTCATTGCTGCGTGCAAAAAATGTATTTCAGTGTTTAGGTAGCACACACACACACACACACACACACACACACACACACACACACACACACACACACACACACACACACTCACACACATATATATATACAGGGAGTGCAGAATTATTAGGCAAATGAGTATTTTGTCCACATCATCCTCTTCATGCATGTTGTCCTACTCCAAGCTGTATAGGCTCGAAAGCCTACTACCAATTAAGCATATTAGGTGATGTGCAACTCTGTAATGAGAAGGGGTGTGGTCTAATGACATCAACACCCTATATCAGGTGTGCTTAATTATTAGGCAACGTCCTTTCCTTTGGCAAAATGGGTCAAAAGAAGGACTTGACAGGCTCAGAAAAGTCAAAAACAGTGAGATATCTTGCAGAGGGATGCAGCGTGATCATCGAACAATCAAGCGTTTCATTCAAAATAGTCAACAGGGTCGCAAGAAGCGTGTGGAAAAACCAAGGCGCAAAATAACTGCCCATGAACTGAGAAAAGTCAAGCGTGCAGCTGCCAAGATGCCACTTGCCACCAGTTTGGCCATATTTCAGAGCTGCAACATCACTGGAGTGCCCAAAAGCACAAGGTGTGCAATACTCAGAGACATGGCCAAGGTAAGAAAGGCTGAAAGACGACCACCACTGAACAAGACACACAAGCTGAAACGTCAAGACTGGGCCAAGAAATATCTCAAGACTGGTTTTTCTAAGGTTTTATGGACTGATGAAATGAGAGTGAGTCTTGATGGGCCAGATGGATGGGCCCGTGGCTGGATTGGTAAAGGGCAGAGAGCTCCAGTCCGACTCAGACGCCAGCAAGGTGGAGGTGGAGTACTGGTTTGGGCTGGTATCATCAAAGATGAGCTTGTGGGGCCTTTTCGGGTTGAGGATGGAGTCAAGCTCAACTCCCAGTCCTACTGCCAGTTTCTGGAAGACACCTTCTTCAAGCAGTGGTACAGGAAGAAGTCTGCATCCTTCAAGAAAAACATGATTTTCATGCAGGACAATGCTCCATCACACGCGTCCAAGTACTCCACAGCGTGGCTGGCAAGAAAGGGTATAAAAGAAGAAAAACTAATGACATGGCCTCCTTGTTCACCTGATCTGAACCCCATTGAGAACCTGTGGTCCATCATCAAATGTGAGATTTACAAGGAGGGACAACAGTACACCTCTCTGAACAGTGTCTGGGAGGCTGTGGTTGCTGCTGCACGCAATGTTGATGGTGAACAGATCAAAACACTGACAGAATCCATGGATGGCAGGCTTTTGAGTGTCCTTGCAAAGAAAGGTGGCTATATTGGTCGCTGATTTGTTTTTGTTTTGTTTTTGAATGTCAGAAATGTATATTTGTGAATGTGGAGATGTTATATTGGTTTCACTGGTAAAAATAAATAATTGAAATGGGTATATATTTGTTTTTTGTCAAGTTGCCTAATAATTATGCACAGTAATAGTCACCTGCACACACAGATATCCCCCTAAAATAGCTAAAACTAAAAACAAACTAAAAACTACCAAAAACATTCAGCTTTGATATTAATGAGTTTTTTGGGTTCATTGAGAACATGGTTGTTGTTCAATAATAAAATTATTCCTCAAAAATACAACTTGCCTAATAATTCTGCACTCCCTGTATATACATGCATTATAGTATGATTTCAGTAAGTGATTACTGCTGAGTAATGTAATGTTACTCAGCAGTAATCACTGTTGATACAAAATAACTGCTTGGATATTACTGGGGCAGTGATGATAGTGATGATAAAATTATTGCCTCCTTGTTTCCAACTTATTACCCCACAATTACCAAATTATTACCTAGCTCTAAAAGTGCTACCTAAAAACACAATCTCTTGTCTTATCACTACACAAATACTACCTAAAACTACAAAATACTACACAAAATAATGCAACACAAAAAGGACAACAAAACCTTCAGGTTTAGGCTTGACAAACGATTTTTGTGTTTATCAATGATAATTTTTGGACCTTTAGTTAATATCATTGTGACAAATAAGTGTATGATTGATACACTACACTTCTGGTCATCCTTTTTACTTCTTTAGAGAACACTGACTTAAATCAACATCATATTTCCAGATGTACAGGAGAATCCAAAATTGAAACAAATGCAGGAAGCAGGCAGTGGTGAGGCTGAGATGGAGACAGAGAGCCCAGGAGGTATTTCAGAGACTCTATTTTTCACTGTAAATCTCTGTTTCCCTTCCTTGCATATATTTTTCGTCACTCCTGCCTCGTTCCTTAGCCCCGATAGCTCTCTGGTTGGAAACTCACTGGTCTTTTTGTCCCACAGTGTTTCTCTGGTGTTTTCCCTTTGCATGTTGTTTTTCAGCTCTTCAACAGTAAACGACACTGATCTGCTGAACAGTTCTGCACAAAGATCTTTGTTTCCTGCGATAATTTTGTTTCACATATTACTAATGACACATATATAAAAATATAATTATGCATGAATTAAACTGTGGCAATACAAATCATAGGGAGTAAGTATATACTGAGGAAATGTGCAGTAAACATGATCCTCTAATCATTTTGTTTTCACATATTCAGTCTTGCTTGATAGCTATAGACTGATCAGCCACAACATTAGAATCTGCTTCAATCCATCAACATTTGGGACTTCTGCAGGTGTCCTTTGGTCTCTGCGATCAGGTAGCAGATCATTTGCCTGCTGGAGGTTGCGGGTGGGGCGTCTGTAGATCAGGCTATCTCTGGTACATCTTGTAGATTCATGTTTGCATTAGTATCTGGGCTGTTTGAAGGATAATTTAATGTTCTGCGTCAATGTAACATCCACATAAATGACATGAAACCAGATTTCTACAGCAGAACATTGCATTGTAAAGAGATGGCCGTTATTAATTACTTTACATAATCTGTATTTTTGATGTTGTGGCTGATTTCCATGTAATAAGTCATAAATTCAAATATGTAATATCAACAAAACATGCATTATCTCCTATACTGTCCGCCATGACTGCTGCCTTCCCCTGTGTTTTCCGTACTGTTATATATTTATCAGATAAGTACCTGTAAATGAAAAAGTGAAGAAAGATTTTTTTAATCTTTTCTTATTTTATTGTTTGTATGTTTGTTTCTCCTTTTGGAATTTGCTTTTCACCTGTTTTGTACAAGAGTTAGACTGATATGATGCTTTTCCTCTGATTTTATGCAGATTTTATGCAGGAATGATGCTTTGCTTTCATCAGTCTGGCCTTTGGTGGGGAGCCGATGTCTCATACTTTCTTACCACCTTTGCTGATTTATTTATTACTATCAAACTACAAGTCAGCCTTCAAAGCGCATATCAATCTAACCCAGTGCATCCCTACCACTACACTACCCTTTAAGTGTATGTAGAGTCCTCACTAGGTCCAGTTTAAGCCCTTAATAATTCCCAGCTGTTACCCTGTAAATGAACCCAGAGCTCTTTCACCTTTAAGGCTCTTTTTTAAATCTCCCACCAGATTGTCATTAAAGCTCCTTTTTCTCTTCATTCAGTCTGTTTAAAGGCAACCCGCCAGATGACGGCATCCCTGTATGTCTTCCTCTCTTCATCCTTCCACACTTTCATGTCTCCCTCCTTGTACCTCTTCTTTGTCCCAATTCCTCTCATTCATTGATTGCAAAATTTAAATTGCATCCATCCATCTCTCTACACAGTGGAGCCTAGACCCTCAGTGCCTCCAGCTCCTCTCCTGCAGCTGGAGAAGTGCTGCACAAGGAATAACAGCGCCACCCTGGCCTGGAGGGTAGCTATGCCCACCATCAACCCCATCGAGGGCTACATCCTGGAGCTGGATGATGGCAATGGAGGACAGTACAGGGTGAGTACTATTTGTTAAACAAAAGATTTACACTAATAGTGTTTCCCACAGAATTACTCTGTATCGTGGCAGTAATGAGGCACAGATCATATGTGTGCACCCAAAAGAAATGCATATATTTTTTGTGGAAATAGATAATAAAAAATAAGCAGTTGTGTCTCCAGGACAAGAGAATAAAGACAGCTGAACGACACCAAGAACCATCACAGCAGCAACTTGAACTTGTTTCTCAATCTCGTTGTTTTCTCTGAAGGTTGAAAAAGATTCGTGGGCAGCCTGCCCAAGAAATTTCTGTTTTTGGGAAACACTGCAATAACTCTACTGTGAAAATAACTAATCTAATCTGAAACTCAGAAAATGATGTTTAGTAGCTCTCCTCAATATGATGCTCATATCTGACAAAGGACAGATAATACTCTTTATGTGTGTAAGTATATGAGTCATCATCAAGCATGCATTAAAAGTGCTAGAGATCTTGACCTCTTCACTAATCCTTGAGCATATACTGCCTCAACTTGCATTTCAAATGATGCTGAGTTTGTGTGTGTCTGTGTGTGCGTGTTTGTGTGTGCCCCCAGGAGGTATATGTGGGGAAGGAAACAGTGTGTACAGTCGATGGTCTTCATTTCAACAGTTCCTACAACGCAAGGGTGAAAGCTTATAATTCCATTGGAGTGGGTCCATACAGCAAGACAGTCATGCTCAAGACTTCTGATGGTACGTGGTGTGTGCTGGAACTGGCTTAGCTTCCAGAGCATGACAGATGGACTCTTTGTCTGCCTTACTTTTGATTCTGCTCTTTTGGCTGTCTTGATTTCATTATATATTTTTACCCAAGGGATTTTTTTGTCTGCGAGCTTCTTTGTAATACAGGTTTCATGATGTAATTTCATCTGACCTATGTAACTGTGAACAGAAAAGCCTCTTACATAGAGGAGATGTTTTTGGGAGAAGGCAGGAGAAAGGTAGGTGGAAGATTTTGAAGAGGGTGAAGGAAATACACTGGACAGGAACAGTAGACAAAGAAAGGGGAAGAAAAGAGAAACGGAATAATGAAGAGGAAGCGGATGGAAAAAAGCTGAAGTAGACCAGGTTTGAGTAGACAGTAAAGAAAAGTCACAAACAAGAAGAAAACAGAAGGAAAGAAAAGGAGATCAAAGGAGTGGTTAAGTAAGAAAAAGAAAGGGGGCAATGGAAAAAGAGGATAAAGGTAAAACTGTACAGAGATGCAAAGGAAAAAGAGAAAAGGAAGGAAAAAACATAACTGCAAAGGGAGAAAAAACAGAATATACTGCTGGAGAAGAAAGGAAAGAATGAGATTAAGGACTCAGAGAAAGAGGAGGTGAAAGAAGAAAATAGAGACACCCACTGTGTAACAGCAGAGCAATGCGGGTGGAGATTTTTACAATACACAAACACACAAACAGTGTCTCTGAACCAGCCACAACAATAATGGGCATTAGAGTCTGTTTTCTGACTGATAACTGTTTATCCCACCCGCCCTCTTTTTATTCTTCTCTATCATCGTTCTTCTTCCTGCCTACTCTGCCTCTTTTTCCCTCCCCTTCTCCTCCTCTTCCTCCTCTCTCTCTCTTTGAGGATTGTACCGCAGCTACACCGAGAAAGAAAACTGCGGCGACGTGACTCTTGTTGAACAGACAGCAATGGCTGCAAACAAAAACATGGCATCCGTGTAGTGTGACAGTAAAAATCTCACGTGCAAGCACTTTTTTAATAATGCATTGGTAGTTGATGAAACATTTCCCGTCTCAGGCCTACACTTTACAAGTGCATTGTTTTCTGTGGATGAACCCAATTAGTTGTTGCCCACAACCGCCGTACAAAGATTTCTAAGGTCACATTCATTATAAAAGAATCTTTTAATACATATTAATGTGATTATTTGACAGAGTGATTACATTTATAGTCTTGTTTTTATCAGCCAGAGATGAAAATATCCCTTGCTGAGTTAAGCTGAAAGTTGTATTTATGTGTATTCCTTGAGCTTGTTCAAAGTATTTTGATAATTTAAAAAAATCAGTCACAGCAATTAAACTAGTTTGACTTTTCAGACCACACAATGCTCAGAGAAGGTGTAACAGACTCAAGTATGGGTCATTTGGAAGATGCTTGTAAAAAGCCTCTACTGTCTAGGGATGGGTATCGTTTAGGTTTTATCCGATACCGGTGCCAAACCAGTACTTTTGAAACGGTGCTGGTGCTTAAACGGTGCTCAAACTTTTGCTTTGGTCATTTTAGCCTTTTTGGCCAGGGTGAAGGGAGTATCTGCCATCAAACAAGAAGACAGCCGCATGTAACTACAACGGTGTTTGCTAGTTCACCTTACATGCATTAATTTAATAACGTGGTTAGCCTACTCAACTTAAATTACACACGAACATTAAGCTACTCACGCAGAGAAGAACGGCTGCTGCTGCCATCATCATCCGTCATCATTCCTGCTACACTGGCAGGGCTAGGGGTCAGGACTCTACTCTTCAGGTTCTTGGGGGATGTTGCTAACTTGGTGCATTTCTTGGCTTCTAAAAAAACGCTATGCATCGCCAGGTTGGTTGTCAGATTCGAGGTGTTATCTCCTTTGCACAGTATCACAGTATCACCTTAAAGCACTTGTTGCAGGCTGCTGAGTTTGCATCTTTTGCTGTGAAGTAAAGCCAGACTTTTGACCACTTTGCCTTGGGCATTTTTAATCTGTAGCTCTAAAAGAATGTACGTACCTGGGCCCACCTACTATCCTTGCAAAGATAAAATGATTGGCTAGAATCCAAAGTGTATGACATCTCAGGAAGAAAAAAAAAAGCACCGAAATAAAGCAATGAAATGTGCGCTGCTTTTGCCATAATGGCACCGGATACCGGTACCCATCCCTACTACTGTCTAAAGAGAATATTGTAGCACAGCTTAGGTTTTGAACTGAACAAACCACAAGACTTCTCGAACAATGTCCTTTTAATGTACAGCGCCATGTTTGGAGAAAGTCAAACACGGTGGTGGAGCGGTGATGGTTTGGGTTTGTTTTGCACCCACAGGACCTCGGCTCCTAGCAGTCATTGAGTCACCCTTAAACTCCTCTATACTCCTCTGATACTAAAGTATTTTAGAGTCAAATGTGATCATGTTTGCAAGAACACCCAAATTGGTTCATGCAACAGGAAAATTATCCAGCAAATCTACAATAAATAGCTGAAATAGAAAAGAATCAATATGCTACAATGGCACAGTCAAAGTTCAGACCTCAACCTGACAGAAATGCTGTTTTGGGACCTTAAGAGAGCTGTGCATTAATAAATGACATCAAACCTTAACAAAATGAAGCAAAGCTATATAGCAAATATGGCCATAATGAATTAAGACACTGAAAGTTATAAAGAAAACAATTACTTCAAGTTATTTCTGCTAAAGGTGGTTCTATGAGCTTTGAATCATGTTTTATTTTCAAAGGACTGTATAGGGTCTTTAATCCTATGAAAAAGAAAGCATGGCCCTTCTAGAATCAGTGATATAATTATTGGCTTTACTGTAGGTGTGGGTAGGTATAGCTACCCAGTAAGGTTCACTTTGGATGAGCAGTTTTTAAAATTATTTTAATAAGATGCAGAATACAACATGTGACTAAATTTAGTGTGAATGTTAGTACAGACTTACAGAATTTCCAAAGACTATTAGCAGGCTAACTGTTGTGTCCTTCTTACAGTGGCTTGGTTCACCTTTGACCCCACCTCAGCTCATCGGGACATTGTTCTGACTAATGACAACCAGACAGTTAGCTGTAACAGCTATGATGACCGTGTGGTGCTGGGGACTGCTGCTTTCTCCAAGGTGAAGTGTATACAGATATTTTCCATTTAAATTTGACAGCGATTAGCCTTTTTCTGTTGATTTTTGGTTATAGAAGTTATAGAAGATTAATTTTTTTACCCCCTATTGAATCTCAGGGCATTCACTATTGGGAGGTCAGCATTGATCGCTATGACAACCACCCAGATCCTGCGTTTGGCATAGCAAGGATCAACACCATGAAGGACATGATGTTGGGGAAAGATGACAAAGCCTGGGCCATGTATGTGGACAACAACCGCTCCTGGTTCATGCACAACAACTCCCACACCAACAGGTAGGTGCATGGGGAGCAACAACACCACCAACAGTTTTTAGTGATAACTTTTAACCATTGTTCCCCTACCATTGGACATGTTGTATAATACTGGCATAAAATACATATCATATTTAAAAAATGAGAACAATTAAGAGATTCCATCTGCATGTTTTCAAGAAAAATCCCAAACTGATATCCTGCAGGATCCAGAGGCTCATATCATTCAAATGCAAAGACAACTGACAAAAGACTAATTTAAGATTATTTTTTAAAATAATATACTGGTTACCTTCCAATACAGTGCCTGAGTTTATTTGTTTTAGATTTGCCTTTCATCCTCATGTCCTTGTGAACTTTAGGTCTGTTTTCAGCTGCTATTTCGAGAATCGTTGTAGATCAGAATTCCACTTCTGTGCATGAGCATTGTGAGATTTTATCATGGACGTCAAACCTCTTCAGTGGCTTTTGGTGGGGGTTTGTTCCCCAGCTACAACCCAGTGTTTGCCTATCAGGTCTTTCTTAAGAGAGTGCACTGTGAATTTTTCCTTAAGGTCAGACTGTCAATGGAGACTTGCAAATTGGGTAACAGCCCGAGGCTTCTGTGAGAGAACACTTGGTTGAGATGTGGTGCAGGCAAGAATGAAAGGAAAGGTTTACCTGGGATGTGTTGCTTGGACATGGTGGCACTAACATAAAGACAGGAGGTAGCAGAGTTGAAGTATCTAAGATTAGAGAACTGGCAAGATTAGAGGACCAGCTCAGGTCGAGTGTTTTGATGACACAGTTTGAAAGGCAAGGCTGAGATGGTTTGGACATGTGCAGAGGAGGAAAAGAAGAAGATCACACAGAAGATTTTTGGTTGGAGTGAAGGAGGACACTACAGGTAAGTTTGTGTGACAGAAGAGGATGCTAGAGATAGAGACAGATGATCCACTATGTTGATCCATAAAGAGAACAGCAAAAAGATGAGGAAAATTGGCACATGCAATTATGAAGACAATTCATGCTCTGCAGATTTGGGACTTTCTTTCTTTGCCCCAAAAATTTAAGTCAAGTAGAAGAGCTCCATTTGACACACTCGAGGAGATCCGGTTAGAAAGGGAGCTTCAGGGAGCAGTCGACAACTTGTAGTCATGCTGAAAGGATTTCAGCGATGCCCAGGGACAGATTGTTGAAGGGAACATCAGGAAAGCTAAAAAAGACATTGACAGCTTTTCCAGACTTTCACTATTATCACGCTGGTTTTCCCCGCTGCAGTTATTTAATACAAAGAACAAAAGACAAATCTTGAAATTTTTACATTTGTTTTGTTTTGTCAAACTACAAAGTTAAAATTGAATATATTACTCATGCTGTGTGAACAACTCATAGGCTGCTAGGTTGTAAAAATCCCCGTTCCTGCGGCAAAGCTTTCATGGAGTTTTCAGCTCTTTCATCAACCCCTCTAAAGGATTGTTGTAGCACTTTCTGTCTTGGAAGAAGCTGTTCATAACATTAATGCCTTTAACATGTGTATCTGCAGACCGGATAGTATAATATGAAATCAGTAGTTTACGTTCCTTCATTAGGAATTTTCTGTAACATCCTTCAAGCCCTCAAATATTTAATAAACCATTAATTAGAAGGCACAATTAAATCTGAGTGGAGTGATGCTGGGATTTAATTTGTTCTATTTTTGCTGGCGAAGCTTTTAATCCTTTAATGATAATCCCACTACGGTGATTCATGAAGAGAAGGAGAAATACCTGCTGAATTTAATTTTTCATAACATGGCAATCCCAAGATTGTCATTATATCATTCCTAATGTACTATAATGTATTATTACTGTAGCAATACTGCTGTTTCCTTTACTATAAAATATGATTCAATTAGTTTGTAACATTAACAAATCCAACTTGTTAAATCTTGTCTTCCTAGAAAGCAGCACTCATCATTTTAAGTAATTCATGAGCAACTTTTGTCGTTGAGTAAAACAACAGGAGACAGGGACTCTGTAAAGTGTTTCCCTTATGCATTCATCATTCTGTCTTGTGCATTAAGTCTCATACTTCTAAGAGGTTTGGAAGCTATAACCATAGATGCACACGATGACAGAGAAACCCGAAGGCTCATACAATACTAACAAACAGACTAACAAACACACAGGGGAGCTGTATAAGATGGCTGCAGGAAACATCAAAACATGCATCTGCACCGTCTCTCTGTCTGCTTCACAAGGAAGCCATCAAACTCTCATTAAAGATTTATTCATGAAAAATATCTGCTCTCTTGACTTGTCAGTTCTCTACCCACCTTTCATGTCATTCATCGTGTCGTGTCGGAGCTTTATTTTTGACTTCTTAATCTCATATTGATTTCTTTATCTGTTAGTGCCCTGACAGCCTAATCCTGGTGAGTGTCTGCATTTCTATAAGTTTAGAGACATTTGTTTAGCTCTTAGCAAAAACACAAGCTTTGTGGTTAAAACATAGTTTTTTGGAGCGCAGGTTTTTGCCATAGATCGTTTTCATTAAGTCACTTCTTAAAACAGAGAACAGAGAGTTTACGTGTTAGACAAAAAGAGCAGACGTTTAATTTTAAATACATTTGATATGTGAAATAATTCATTCAACAGCAACTGAGCCAATTCTAACTTTGATTTATGAGTTACAGGGGTCTTTGTTTGCCATTTGATGCACTGTTAGCTTCAGGTTCCATGTAGAAGACGCCAACAAATGTCACATAAAACACACAAAATATGAATACAAGAGTGATCAGATTTTTTTAAAACTTTAACTAATTTAACACACACGTAGATTAAAGTATCATAAACCAAAACAATAATAATAATAATTAATTAAAAAACACATTAACCATCCCAGCAACAGCCTGTTCACTCTGCTGCCATTTGGCAAGAAATACTAAAGAACCTGTTGCTGCATCCCCAGACTTCAGAGTGCTGTCTTTAAACAAGCTGTGAATGAGTTAAAGGACTCTTCGGTGACTATGTTTTGTATTCATTCTTTTACATATATATTTGTCTTTTTTTGCAGCATGACACAACTACAGTCATATTTGTGCTGTGTTACCTTCAATGTGAAACTTAACCTACTACAAAATCTGTGCATTTACGGCACATATACATAACAAAATTGACTAGCTTTGTGTGTGTGGGTGTGTGTAGGGCAGAGGGAGGCATCACTAAGGGCTCGACTGTGGGTGTCCTGCTGGATCTGACTAAACGCACACTAACCTTCTACATCAATAAGGAACAGCATGGCCCAACTGCCTTTGAGAACCTGGACGGGGTCTTTGTGCCCGCCGTCAGCCTCAACAGAAATGTGCAGGTCTGTGTGTGTTAAAGTGCCATGTTTAACAGCAATGGAAAATAACCAGCTCCCTGATGGGCTGCCTTGATTGTTGACCTCGGTAAAGTGTTTACTGCAAAATAACTCAATGAAAAAAGAAGAGGAATTAAATTCAAGAATAGCAAGGAAAAATGGCTCCCTGAGGAGAGATTCTGTACACAGATGCGATGATTAACACAAACTTCAAAGCAACCAAGCTGCAACTACATTACTGTAAAATTCAGATGAAATATAGGTTATATTTATGCAGTTTATGAGACATTTAGTGAATGATTCCTAACCCATGAGCTCAGATTACTGTGTGTTCCAAAGGTAAATAAATGTGTCTTCTCCAAAACAAATTTCACATGAAATAGATGCAGTGGTGCTTTTATGTGCCCACTCTGATCTCTAAGATCACTGCCTCATTCGTGCTGATTTCAATGAGTGTTTTTTCCGTTTCTCTATTTCAGGTGACATTAGTGACAGGCCTGGAAGTTCCAAAGAATATCAAACAGTAAGAGCTCCCTCCTTACTCTGAGCGTGCCCTGGATACAAACCAATGATGTCATGTCCAGTACTGTCAGATGGGATCTGTTCCTCTCCCATCCTTCTCAAGTTGACCCTTAACCTGGAAAATCTTCAGCTCCACGACTTTTTAGAGAAGTGACAAGTTTATTGGCTATAAATGTAATGATTACAGCTTGACGACATCACTGCAGAGATGGCTGGAGGGCCATACTTTTTTCCACTGCCCAGTTTATTTTTCTCAAAGATACAAACAACACTGATATTATCTATATTCCAGCTTGCACAGTTTATGTTATTTTAAACAATCTGGGCTTAACTCCGCCCCTTAAAGATTTTATATTGTGCAGGAAAGATCATTGTGAGTTGAAAAATAAAGAAAAAATAGACCACAAGCAACACAGTTTTTAGGAGGTGGAAAAAAAACTCCTGAGAGAAATGATTCAGCAGTGCTTTTTGTTGCTCTGCTTCTCTCTCAGGTGTGTTTACAGCCGAGATGAACACGAGTCATTTGTAGGACTTGTGTAGTGGCACCATGGGTTTTTTCTCTCATAAAATATTTAAAAGCTAAACTCTCGCTTCACACTTTCATCTCAGTGTTGACTCCAACAGCACTGCCTTCTCTGTTTTCTCTGTGATTTCTTATCTGTGGTAAGGAATCTGACAGCCATCTTAAAGCCGGCAAAGCTTCCCTCATGATCGACTCTCTTTCTCATGCAAAGCGGCGCAAAGATCGTTTGATAGTGTTGTCAGAACGGTTTACATATTGAGGTCAGTCTGAGAAGGCTGGAACTTAATTCCATTTCATTTTTCAGTAATCTGACAGATCTACTGAGCCAGGGGTGTATTATTTTGAAATTCACAGTCTCAAAGGCCTAGAGACCACCAGCCTTTTCTTTTCCTTATTTGTCTTAAAAACCTAAAACTCCGACATCAAAAAAGCTCCCACTAAGATGTAGCAGATCGCCACATTTCGACGTCTTTGGCAGTGAACTTTTGGACTCTGCTAGAACATGAAAATGATTGCACCACTTGGTATGACTTATCCACTGGCCAGTAAGAAACATTACTGTGGTATTTAATAAATCACGTGGCCATGCAATTTGCATACTGAAACAAACCTATTTGCCTGCAGGGGCATCTCAGACTCAAAGAACTGTTTTGACTTTGACAGATCATTGTCAGAAAATGCTAAAACGAAGTAGAATCGAGCCAAACTTCATTTTCTTTGATTTACAATTTAAAGATAATATAATACACCCCCAGTCGATGAGAAAAGTATGGTCGTCTCAAGAACATTTCATTCTGTGCTCATCTCTCAGTCTCACTGCAGAATCTCAAGATGCTTTCAGACACCTTTTATCTGTGGCCCTGAACGTTATCTTTTAAAGTCACATCAGGTAAAGCTACATAAGCTGCTACATTTATCATCAGGGACTAGATATGGCAGCCTATAGAGGACAGTAGCTTCAACCAGACCACTGTGACTCAGGACATGAGACACTGTATAAAGTACATAGGTATAAGTACACTGTTTATGTATGTTTTATCAGTTCATGGAATGGAAGAATTCATTAATTGAGGTTATTTAATCTACGACTTGTTTATATCTGAGCCATTTCTGTTCCCTATAATGTGAGTTTGAGAGGTAGACTGACATTACCACATGACAGTGGGTTTACATGTGAATGGACATCCTCAAACTGTAAATACTGATATGTGAGTTATGATTATAACATGTGACATTAAGCATGGATTCAAACAAGTTTACAAACTATCTGAAGCTGTATTGTAAATAGTGTACCGTTTGTCTTTGCAATGAGGGACCCTGAAACCAACCGCTATAACAGCTCGCCCCCTGCTGGTGAACGGTGGCGAGAACAAGATTAAGGCATCCCCGACAAAACCTGCCGATATCTGTTTTCATGCTTTTCATCACAGACTTTTTAAAATGTGTCAGGATTTATGTTACTGTAAATCACAAACTATCTCATGATATTTTGGACATTTAAACATAAAGTTTACATTAAAAGGGTTGAACATTTTACATTGACAAATTAGTGTAGCACTTGTATACTTACTGCACCCTCATTCTTTAAAATATACCACAGAAATGAACAGAAATAATGTGTAAGGTTAAGAATTACTGGTATTTTTACAGGAAATGATCAGGTCTATTTTGAATGCCTATTTTAAAAACATTTAGTTACTAGTAGAGATCTAGGTTTCTAAAATAAAGTAAATATCTTTATTTTTTCTTTATTTGGACGTTTTACTAAGTTTTTAGGAGGTAGAGATGGGATATTATATTTATTTTTAAATCAGCATTGATATTTTGAATGTTAAATTCTTTACATTTGCATTGCAGTATATCTTATTTATAGGCATTTCATACACCTGGGCTATATAAAATATTTCTGAGAATGATGATCTCAAGGGAGCCACAAATAGTGAACTCATAAAGTCAAGTCAAATGTAATTCCATATACTATGATGTGTAATATGTACAGGGTGTCCAGAAGGGATTTATCACCAGTATCAACTCAATTTAATTGAATTGAATTTATATAGCACCAATTCACAACAACAGCTGCCTCCAGGTAAAGACTTTACACTATTACAGTAAGAACCCCAATGATCACACGATGCCCTACGAGCAAACACTTGGCGATACTGGGAAGCAAGATCTCCCTTTAAACAGGAAGACTCAGGGTCAGGAAAGGTGCAGCCATCTGGTTGGACCGGTTGGGAGGTGATGAGAAAAGGGGGGGGGGAAAAAAAGGAGCGCGTGAAAGGACAAAAGACTGACTATTGGAGAAGGAAAACAATTTAGTCACAGGTACCCATTCAATTGAATTAAACAGAATTCAGCTGAAGAAAATAAATAGAGAAATCAAGGCCTCCATGGAGCATTTTAAAACCTGCCAGCATTGCTTTTGCTCAGTTTGGCCAATCATTTGCCATTTGGTGTTTGCTGTTAACCCTTTTTTAATGTGACTTCAATCGATTCAATAACATTTGCTTTAACATTGCATAACCACTGTGTAGCTTTAGATGGAGGGTCGTTTCAGTGGGAAGAAAATCTGAATCTGTGTGTTAATGCTTCTAGCATCGGGAACGGCAATTTTGTGGCACTGTGCTGATACCAGCCTTTTTAAAAATGCAGTTATTTTTGGTGGAAATGGGTAGAACCACACTGAGTTTCAGAAAGACATTAAGACGCCAGTGGAAAAGAAGCAATGCTTTGTCTGCCTGTTTTTTTCTTCTTTTTGAAGCTACCTGCTAGAGCTCAACAAAGTTAGCATACAGATGGTTTAATAGTGTAGGTTTTATAAGTTAATGAACCAGATCTTTTGAACTGAACCAAAAATGGAGCTAGATATGTATACTTCAAGCAGATACTGCAGTAACTGCACCCAAGTGGCAAAAAAAGCACTTACACCAAGCCTGTTGACTAAATCATGATGACAAGATCTATTTAAGTTTACATTCATCTGTAAGTGAAGATTTTTAACCCAAGTACTCTCTTCACTTAAATGTAACATATTTCCTTTGTAACATGAATACAGCGTTAGTGCAAATGTCAGAATTTAAAGCAGCTTACTTTTTTTTTTTACCTGATGTGCCCCAGACTGCCAGCTTTCACCTAAGGGCTACATTTACATCACTTCTGGCTGCTCAGCTCTGACCTTGCTGCCACCTCCCACGCCAGATGCAGAAACCTGCCCTGAGGCTGAATTTGCTGTAACAGGAATAGATTTCTAGACAAAAGTGAAATATCGTGTAACCAGCCTTCTGAAAAGTTGGATGATTTGGGGTTATGTCTCTGTGGTCTGTATGGATGTCAAAATGATAGTCAGGAAATCGTGACTGGAGGCACTTAAAGCTTCTGCTGAGGGGCTCAAATTCACCCTGTGTTAACATTTGGTTCCATATTTTCTTGCCTAAAAATCACTTAAAACAATATTATTTCACAGAAACGAACAAAAAACAAATCTTGCATATTAAAATATTCATGCTGCAGTCACTTCTGTCCAGATGTATTTGTAAGAGTTCCTGTATGAAATGTCCCTTTACTCAACACTTACCCACCCATGAATGTGACATATTTTACCAATTTAATTTTAATGGTATGGTGCTGGGAATTACACTAGTATTATTAGATTATGTTTGAAAAAGTAGAGGAAAAAATGTAATTTATTTACTCTATAAAGTATTTATAAATATTTAATTATGTATTTTCTTTTGTATAATATCCTCTTGAATGGCTACTAATATGGTCTGTGTTTGACCAGTAAGGATTGCAAGTCGAAAACGGCCCGCGTCTGTAAAATATTTTCTGAATAAAGGAGATGTGCTTACAGCTTCAAACATGTGACACGCTGCAGATGAGCTTCATGTTTTCCTCTTTTTGAACTGTATATACAACAACAAAAAGGCTGCTTCAAGAAAACTGTGTGAGAATTTGTGACCTCACCCAGCTGCACACTGCCAACTCAAAGGTCTTGTTTTATCATAGTGTCGCAAAACTCCAACTGTCATGTTTTCCCTTTAACAAAATGGAAACGACTGCAAGAGATGGTTAATATGGGAGAAAAACTGTAAGATCATTCTGCTTTCTCACGGTCCATTCAGCGTGTGCATGTGCGTTTCATCTTGAAAACTTCTGCCAAGACTTTACTTGCGTGTAATTTTTTAATTATTAGGCCCACCTGCCCTGTTATGATCCAGTCCCTTCCTGCCAATATAAATGTTTTGTACAACTACATTTCAGTTTGTAAATGAGAAATGCATTGCAATTACATACTTTTAAAAATGTCAGTGTACAACACAAGATACACAAATGTCTCTTTTTTGTCATTTATAAAAACAAAATAAATAAACTGTGATGGAAGATGATTTGACAGTATTCGGTCTCCAGTTATGTGCTTTAAGACTTGTCCATGATGCACAGTCGAAGATCAATCCACTGAATTTCTCACACAATAGTCACCAGTAACACCATCCCTCCCAGACAGTGACATATTATCAGGAAATGTCTATTGTGTCCACTTCCTCTCCATAACATGCTGGTATGCATTTTCCATTCTGTAGGATTCAAATTCCTCACCTGCAAAACAAAGAAAATAAATATGTACTTTATCACCAAACGTTTAACCACAGCTTTTTACCCTTTAAATTGTTTCATATCTTGAAAATCCACTTTAATAGGATCATTAGCAGTAGCGGCTCCTGAGTATAAACAACAGTGGGGCAGACATTGGCTCTGGTGCCGAATTGCTAACCACACCCATATTTATTGTGATGTCATTGGGCAGCTACATTAAAAAAAAAACTTTAATCATATTACAATTAATGATTATTACAATATGAATCTGTCTGCAAGCAGCAACAGATTTTCTTTGAATATGTTAACCGGATATAGTGCAATAGATGAATGTCACAAGTGACTGAAAAGTCTGTCTTATCCAATATACACAACACCAACTATCGAGGTATAATACGAAGAATAAAACTAAGATAAATAAGGCATTTTTTTCTTTTTAGCAGGTTATTTAGTCTTGACTATTGGATAAACAACACAAAAGGTTTTGTGTGTAATGTCAATCACAGTTTTATTGAAATCAGAATTTCATGCTTCAGTTGCTTTTCGATTGACAGCATTGCCAGTGCCTTCAGTCTGTCCTGTGTCCTTTAATGCCTTGAGTCGTTTGAGTGTGTAAAAGCATCATTCAGACTTTATGGTCATCATGGGTTCAGTGATCAGAATCCAAAGTTTAGGAAAACATCCTGTAAGTTGTTTTTATTAAAGGGCTCAAACATGCGCTGCTACACATCCTGAAGTCAGGGTTTTCATATATGAGTGAGAGCTCTGATTGCAGCCGCGATTTATTCAACATTGAATATGCATCAACTGCCTTCCCCAGTTCCGCTGTTGGGATGCGGACTAACATGAGAGCTAACAGTTCTGCCCCTCTGTTACTCCTGCTTGTAGTTCAGATAACTGATGACAGAGCAACACGATGAATACAAGGACACGTGGGTGTTGACCTGCCCTGCCCCATACCTCCAAATTTGCCATTAAATTGAGAAGAACACAAAATTACTTTCAGATAAAAATGATCAAAACAGAATACAAAACATAAATAATAAATTGAAAGGCAGGTAATTAAATATTAATCATATTTTAGGACTGATTTATAACACAGCAGAGAAGCACTGATTCTGTTATTCTTTGCTTCAGAGCAGACGAACTCAGCTGGTTTTCTGTTAGTGTTTGCTTCTCTCTTATGTTCTACACGTCTTTTACGGTATCACCATAACTGACACGTCGTTCTCAGAGAGCAAAACTATTACATATTTATTTTAGCGCAGGCCATAAAGTACAGGGGAAAAACTCAAACACCACTAACTCTGCATTAGCGTGTTAAAACACGTATACACTGAGAATTTGCCCCTTTTTAAAGTTATCAATCAGAAAGAAATTTAGAAGCCACTGAAAATCTCATTCAGGGCTGTATCATGAACAGTGATACAGCCACTTTGATTTAAATACACTGAAAGACTGTTAAACAGTTTGCTTTTAGACATCGTTCTCTGTTTTGGTCATTTCCTATTTTCCTCACTTGTTGCCTTTGATCTTCTGGATCTCCTTGGAGCTGAGGAGCAGCATGCCGTTCTTGAAGCGGCCCACCTGACCAGAGGGGGCTGCGCCAGGACCCGAGGGTACAGTTGTCTTCCTGTTTCTGACAGAGCAGTAGAAGCAAACACAGGTTGGAGCCACAGAAATGATAAAAAATAAAATATTTTATATTATACTATAAATATACTATATGAAAATAGTATATTTTCATATTTAATTACTAATTTTTGGAGAGTTAGGATGAATTCTATGATGGGGAAGTATTTCATTAACAATAATTAAAGTTCATAATTAAGGTAAATAATCAATGATATTTAAGAAAGGTGTGACTTTATTCACCTACCTCTGCTTACTCTTCTTCTTCTTTTTCTTCAGGCCCTAAAAAGAAATAATTTATGCTACATTAAGAACAGCAAATAGAAGTAATTTTCCTGTAAGTGTGACTGGCCTGAAAGTGCAGGTCGTACCAGCTGAGCCTCCTCCTTTTCCTTCTCTTTCTTCTCTTTGATTTGCTGCTGAAGTATCTTATAGTTCGCATATTCCTTTTTAGGAGGCTGATAGAGACATTAAATACATGAAAATTGGGCCATAAAAAAAATCTGCTCTATAGCAAAATTTAAAAGTTGGATTAAAATGTTGCTCTTACTCTGGCTCCCAACATGACTGCTCTGTCCTGTTCAAAAACACGCTGCTCCTCCTTCTTATAGCCTGTAATTCCAAACCGATGGACTTCCAGACGAGCCTGACCCCAGCACACAAATACAGTAAAAGCCAACAGAAATCATGTAGATATGAAGAGCTACATGACTGCTAATTATATTTTTCAGAGAACAATAATCTACAGCTATATATATATATATATATATATATATATATATATATATATATATATATATATATATATATACACATGAACAAAACATGGATTCCAATCTTGTGAAGAAGCAATAACAAAGTAAATTGAAGTAAACTGTGGTGAAACCATCACCTTTTCCAAATTGAGTTCTCCTAGCTGGTCGCTTTGCTCCTTTTCTGCTATGTGAAGGGCCTGGAAGGGATGACAGCAGAAACCCAAAGGCAATGAAGACGGGAGGAAAAGGAAAGTGATGAGAATCATTTCTGACAGGAGGATCTTTAAAGGAGGTTTGCTGGAGGTCAAACAGTAGGATTTAGCACGTTTCATAGTATCAACTGGAAAACAAGTTTCCAAGATGAAAATGCTGTAAAATGAACTGCAACAGCTCCTAAAAAAATGCCTGTGACAAGAGGAGATGACTGCATTTCCTATTAAGCCTATTGGCACAGAAGCCACTGCTGCTGATCCTTCTATAGGTAGCATCCATAACTCTGTTTCTAATCTACTCTTTCTGCACATTTAACCCCCCAAATTGATAAAAACAAATTAAAACAGTTACAATTACGTTGTTACTTGCATTACAAAGGTTTGATTTTAATTTGGGTGTGTGAGGAGGTAAAGGGTGGAGCGATCTACAGCGTTACAGCTTTAGAGCAGTAGTGATATGGACATTACCACTGCGCTCTTTTCCTGTTGTGCTATAAAAAAATACAATAAAAATTTAAAAAAGTGCAAACTGCACAAACATCAGTCTGCTGCTAACAGAACTGCAGCTTTGCAAATATCTGCACAGACAGCATGCTAATGCTAGGCCAGCTAAGAACCCAGAGTGGTGATGAAACTGAGTGAATGTTGACCCAGCCCAGCAGCCAAAGCCTGATCTTCAACAGGTAAAAGTCACACCCATAGACTCAGTTTCTACGTGTTCATGTTTCTAAAGAAGTAGTTAAGTAATGTACTTTTATGAAAAGTAACAAGAAAAATGTGTAATATCCGTAACGACTCCCAACACCAGTTGCTAGCTGGATACAAGATTTTTTTTTTTTTTGCACACCATCAACATGAACTGAACTATACCAGCCTCCAAACAAATATAGAGAGCCACAGTAAGCTCAAGTACAACAGACTTACAGGTGTTTTGTTGGGGTTTGGTGTTGACTTTTTTCTTTTCTTTGAGGGGTCTTGAAATGTGACTACCTCCACCTGGTTCACTTGCTCGAAGGCTAGAAAATGGGATGAATCAGATTAATGAGTAAAAAAAAGAAAAGAAAGAAAACTTAATGACTCACAGACAAAAGTGAAATGACTGAGGGTGTTATATACTGTTGCTATGCTGCCTACCCGTTTGCTCAGCCTTTCGTTGTTGCTGCTGCTGCTGCTCAGCATCATGTTGCTCTGCTCTGTAGTCTTCAGTGTCACTGCATATATCCTTCACTGCAGGGAGCTCCTCTTCTTCCTCCCAATCTTCGCATCTTTTTCGTTTTTTCTTCTTCTGAGACTTCTTTTTTGGTCCTGATCCTACATCATCAATCAACAATATGATTCAGAATCCAGACCCTGTAACGTTTTGTTTACATGACTTGGCCATGAACTCTGGTAAAGTCAGTAACACAAGAAAGTAGCAGACACCTGACTTTTAAAGTATAGGTAACTTTGCACTTCTGTAGCAAAAACTAAACTGCAACTAATGCAGTCCAGCAAAGCAGTATTAAAATAAATCTCTTCCTGCTATCCTTCTATCTCAAATCACCCCCGACACTTGCCGTCACCACTCCACCAAACCTGCTTGTGCCCTGTCCACTGATACATTAATAATGACAATGTTCAGGATTTGCATTAACTTGATCAAAGAGTCACAATATAACTTTATGAAAATGTCGAGAATGCAGTTTGTGGTGCTGCTTAACTACATTGCATGAACTATATTTGTTTTTATTTAGACTGCACTACAGAGAAGAGGAATGAAAGTCAGTAGGAGTAAGACAGCATACGTGTGTGAATGAGAGGGAGACAGATGTAACAGTGCAGACCTAATAAGTTAAGGTAGTGAAGGTGGCTCAGTTTTAACTATCTAGGTGCATAACAGTCAGTGCATAACAGAGGTGAAAAGGAGTGTAGGTAGGGTGGAGATGAGTGTCAGAGCTGATTTGTGACAGAAGGATAGCAGCAAGAGTGAAAGCGAAGGTTTAAAAAACATTAGTGAGTCCTACTATGATGAAACAAAGAGACTAAGCTCGAGGTTGCAGAGCTAAAGCTGTTGAGCTTTTCACTGGGAGTGACCAGAATGGACAGTATTAGAAAGGAGTACATCAGAGGGACAGCTCGGGTTGAGCAGTTTGGAGACAAAATTCATGGATGTAGTGAACGAGGACACGTTTGTGTTGGTTGGTGTGAAAGATT